CGGGGTCGGGGAGCGGGGAGGGGGCATCAGGCCCGGCGGGCCGCGTGCAGCGGAGCCGGCAGACGGGCGGGCGCCGGAAGTGCGAGGCCGCGCCGCTTTGTCCGCGCGCCGCCGGGTTCCGGGCCCGGGCCGGGCGCGCGGGGTCACGTGGGCGCTGCTGCAGGCGTGGGGGCGGGTCCGCGGGCGCGCAGGCGCGGTCTGCGCCGGGAGGGCACCGGCGCGCGTGCGCCCGGGGGCGGGCGGGTGGGGGCGGATGACGGCAGAGTCGTTACCGTGGAGCGCCTTTTGCCGCCGGGAGCCGGGAGCGGTGGGGGCGGCCCGGCGCCGCTCGGGGGCGCGCCTGTCCTGGGGCCCTGTTGCCAGCGCGCGCGCGCCCGCCCGCCCTGCAGGTGCAGCACGCCAGCAAGCAGATCGCCGCCGACAAGCAGTACAAGGGCATCGTGGACTGCATCGTGCGCATCCCCAAGGAGCAGGGCGTCCTGTCCTTCTGGAGGGGCAACCTGGCCAACGTCATCCGCTACTTCCCCACGCAAGCGCTCAACTTCGCCTTCAAGGATAAGTACAAGCAGATCTTCCTGGGGGGCGTGGACAAGCACACGCAGTTCTGGAGGTACTTCGCCGGCAACCTGGCGTCGGGCGGGGCGGCCGGAGCCACGTCGCTGTGCTTCGTGTACCCGCTGGATTTCGCCAGGACCCGTCTGGCCGCCGACGTGGGCAAGTCGGGCACCGAGCGGGAGTTCAAGGGCCTGGGAGACTGCCTGGTCAAGATCACCAAGTCTGACGGCATCCGGGGCCTGTACCAGGGCTTCAACGTGTCGGTGCAGGGCATCATCATCTACCGGGCGGCCTACTTCGGCGTGTACGACACGGCCAAGGGTAAGCGCGTGGGCTCGGGGTGGTTCAGATGCAGAGGTCCACTGAGTGACCAGTGTGCTTCAGATGGGGGGGGGGGGGCGAGGGACCAGGGGGGTTTCACAGTTGTTGATGCTCCGCTGGCTGCTTGGGTGTGTAGACGGTGGTTCTGTCCGTGTGTTCTTATGGGACCTTTCTGTGTGTTGAGATTTCACATTTTTAAAAATTTTTTAAAGTTTCTTTACTTGAGGAGGGAAAGACAGGATGTCAAGCAGGTTCCGCGCTGTCAGCACAGAGCCCAGCACCCTGGGTTCGAGCCCCCAGACCCTGAGATCATGATCTGAGCCGAATTCAAGACGCATAATTGACCAAGCCAGCAAGGTTGTCCCTCAGTTTCTCTCAGTTTCTTCTTACAAGGATGTCCGTCCTGCTGCTTAGGGCCAAGCCCGCTTTGATGACCTTACTTTGCCTTTTTAACTGTTGCTTTTTTTTTTTTTTAAGACACTCTGCGTCAGTACGGCTCGATTTCTACCTGCTGGGCATTGGGGCTCCACTGTGAGTTTCAGGGGCTCACAGTTCACACCCTGAAAGCAAGCTGAGAGCAGCTGTCATCAAGGTTTGGGGGTCTTTGCAACAGAGCAGCCTCGCGTTGGGGCGCCTGGAGGGCTCAGTCGGTTGAGCGTCTGACTTCAGCTCAGGTCGTGATGTCACGGTTCGTGGGTTCAGGGCCTGCGTCCCCACTCGGGCTGTCTCAAAAATAGAGGTCCAAAAAAAGGACAGCCTCGCGCTGTCTGCCGTGACCACTTCCAAAGTTCGTCCGGCCCCTGCTGTAGAGGGAAGTCATTCAGGCACTAAGCCTGGGTCTCTGGGACTGTACCGTGGCCTGCGCGTGGCTTCAGCACCCCCACCCCCTCCCCGTCCAGGCTCTGTGGCCGAGCCCGTCCTGATTATCTGGTCTCCGTGACCTGTAGCTGAAAACCCCTCGAGGGGGCAGGGTAGGCCTAACGTCGGCCGGTGACCCCGCAGGCATGCTCCCGGACCCCAAGAACACGCACATCGTGGTGAGCTGGATGATCGCGCAGACAGTGACGGCCGTGGCGGGCGTGGTCTCCTACCCCTTCGACACCGTGCGGAGGCGCATGATGATGCAGTCGGGGCGCAAAGGAGGTATGGTGTCTCCGTTCTGGTGGCCGGACGACAAAGTCCGGGAAACCCTTCCTGGCGGGAAGGGTGTCCTGCTCGCAGCCTTTAAGGGGCTCGGGTTCCTCACATGAGCCGCTTCCCACACCGCTTGGGGCAGCGTCTGGTTCCAAAGAGTGCCAGCTTCGCGGGCACGGGAGGCTGTGCTGAAGGGCGCTAGTCTTGTCCCGCCAGCCCTTGACCCCCGGGTACCTGCTCGGCCCCTGGTCTCCCGAGTGGCCAGGGGCCTCGCATGGTTCCCGAGGTGGGGGTGGGGCCTGAGTTCCGCATTCCTCCTCCACCACGACAGTGGGCCGGCAGGGCTGTGAGCTGGGGCCACGCGCGTGCACTGCCTCCGTTTTCTCCGTGACGAGGAACCACGTCCCCCGGGTCGCGGCAGCTGGTTTCGCTGCCTGCCACGTGTCGTTGGTGGTTCCTGTAACGTCCTCTCCACAGTAACCTCCCAGTAAGTGTCGTCTCTCTCTTACAGCCGACATCATGTACAAGGGGACCCTCGACTGCTGGCGGAAGATCTTCAAAGACGAAGGGGGCAAAGCCTTCTTCAAGGGTGCGTGGTCCAACGTCCTGCGGGGCATGGGGGGCGCCTTTGTGCTCGTGCTGTACGACGAGCTGAAGAAAGTCCTCTAGGCTCCCCTCCCCCGGACGCAGGCACCGAGGGAATTCTGTAGAATACTTGTAACTGTTACGGACCAGTGATCTTCGAGAAATTCCAGGGTCCCCGCCCCGGCCAGATCACGTCTAGAGGCCTGGGGCAGGTTCTAAAAGGGGCTCATTGTGATCGACCATTGGCACCAGATTCCATGTATTGATTGGGGGGGAGGGGAAGGAGGACGTCTGTCTTCACGAGTCCGCAGACAGACAGGCAGGCAGCTCGGCCACAGACCTTAGAGTCCAGGTGCTTGTGGGACCTTAGTTGTGTTTAAGTATTTATTTAAAAAAGAATCATGTCTCCATTTGTACTTAAGCACTATTCTCTTTTGCACAGCCGAATATTTGCAATTATGTTTCATGTCGGGCATTCTGCAAAACCATAAAAGACGGGACAGAGAGAGAGACTGGTGGTTTGTTTTCAGCCGAGTGTACCGGGGGGCGGGGGGTTCCTCAGGCAATCCAGGCAGGGGGAGGGGTTGAAAACAAAGTACGCCCCCCTCCTCGCTCCCCCTCAAGTGCTGTGCTGTAGCAACTTGTGCTAAGAAAACCCCAGCCCAGAAAGGGCCTCCAGGAACCGCGTCCCATGGCCCACGTTAGCCCTGGCTAACGTGTGATGGGGATCCACGTGTCTGGGCACCAGACCTCGGGGGCAGGTCCTGTGCACCCGTTGCCCGAATGCACCGGTCAGTGTGGGAGAGCGACGCCCTGCAGGCTGAATGTTCGGTCCTGGCGTTGCGTCCGCCTGTCACGAGGGCCCCCCGGGGTACGCAGGCCGACCCGATGTGAAGCACCGCTCCTGGGCTGTGGGGTCCTGGCCGTGGGAGGCGGGGCTCCTCAATTTGAAGACGTTGGTAAATGCAAACCTTTCTTTCTGCCGCAATTACGGGTCCCGTCCCGTTAGACACGAGGGAATTTGGGTCACGAGGCAAGCTAAAAAGAGGCCGGGATCTGCGCGGCCTCCTTGGGGACCTCGCACTCCTGACCTACTTGACCGGTGGTGCTCTGGCCGGGAGGACTCGGGTCTTGGGTGCGGGCTCCCGTCTGGATCCGTGGTCGAGAACTGCGTCTTCGCTCAGGCTGAGATCAACCCTCCCTCTTGGCCGCGAGGCCTTTTTAGGTTTAATTGACAGGTTGCCAAATAGCCGCCTGTGCCGGTGGCCTCAGGGCAAGCCTGCTTTGGCTGTGGGGTGGCTGGGGGGGGGGGGGGGGGGGGGGGGGGGGGGTGGCGCTCCCGAGGGTCCCCCTGACGCCGTCCTGCGCGCGTCTCCGCGTGCGTGGCCACGCCCTCCGTGCCTGCGTCTCCCCCACGCACCGGCCACACGGTAGTGACCCCCCTGTGCCCGGATGCCCGGTGCCTTGACTGGGGTGGTCGTGGAGCTTGTGGGTCCTTCCTGGTTACCTGGGGTGTGCAGGGCTTACAGAGAAGGCGGCACGGCCGCTGAGAGGGGGCAGGGGTGCCGGCGAGGCCCATGTCAGGAGGCCGGGGCGACCCGGGGCGACGGGGCTGGATCCCACCGCGGAGTCCAGCGGGTGACCGGAAAAGGGCTTTATTTAGGAAATGACCCCCACACCGCCTGTCTTCCCTCCTGGTGGCAGCTCCGTGAAGTTGCGCCGGGTGGTCGTGCCCTGGCCCCCCGGTCCCCCGGTCCAACACCAAGCAGGCCGTCCAGGCCCCCGCCGCGTCGAAGACGAGGTCTGCGCCCCAGCGTCACGTTTCTCCCAGAACCTGCACCTCCGCCACCTGGCAGTCCTCCCGGCTTGCTCTGCTGGCCTCCCAGGCCACCTGCGCGGGTAATGGGGGGGGGGGGG